AAAAAATCATAAAATCTTAAAAGATCTACTTTGAGCTCTTTATAAAAGCTGGCTTTACAATTACCTTTGGCAGGTGATCAGTAGCATGCTTGGAATGGCTAAGTGTGACTTCCAGCTTTTAATCCTAAGTCTTTAGAACTATTCAGAATAATATTGTCTATATATGCTGACCTTAGAGGTTTTGAAGTACTGAATGACAAAGGAAAATGCTCAACAAGATGGATTGACCCAGGTGCTGTAACAATGGGCTCGAGCATGGCAGAGGTTCTAAGGAGTGTGCAGGAGAGGGTGAGGTTCAGATCTGTGACACTGTGTGTCACGGTCACCTTGACTATGTATAACAATGTGCCTCAAATATCCTTAACTTTAAAAAAACCCTCTAAAAAGTTTTCCATTTTCCCCACAAATAGATGAGTTTTTAAGACAGTTTTCACCATCTTACTTACATCTCAGTTTGTCAAAATTAACTTTTTTTTCCTGACATGAAGATAATTTCCAATATGGTTTTATTAGCCTATTTATCATTCTTCTTTTAAAAAATTTTTATTTTATATTGGTTTGCATACAAAAATCATATACATTGTGTTCTGTTTACATACATTGTGTTTCACACATTCCTCTATTCACATTGTTTTATAAAATTATCACCATGGATGCATGGCCACCATTACCCTGCCTTTTCAGGTCCCCACTGGATCTTCCCTAATTCCTTCAACTCCTCCCTCTGCCCACCACTCTGCTATCCCGAGATTTCCTGCCTCCCTACCCTCAGCCCACCTCCTCCCTCCTCTTCCCCCTTTGGACTTTGTACACATTCTACTAGTAATTCTTCTATTTTTACAGTTATAGTCTTATGCTGTAACTCTTCTCTTGATCCATAGCATAATCCTCCTCTAACCACACAGGGTTGCCAGGAGTCAAAACTGACTTGACAGTAACTTGTTTCTTCCCTTCCCTTTTTCTCTTGATCCATAACATTAAATGTCTAGAAACAGGACCTAGGATTTTTTTTGTTTTCTACCTAAGATTTTTTAAAGAACTTCAGGTAAGAGACTTGATCTAAACCATCTTGCTTGACTTTACCCTGATTAAGAAGAAACAGCTTTCCCCCTTAAAGTTCTGATCAAAGTTTACCTGAGCATTGGTGGCATAGTCCAAATGGAGCATGTCATATTTTCCAGGTACCTTCTCAAACTTTTCACGATCCTCCCAGTTATTTTTTGTTTTGTCAAGGAATCTACAAGGTCCAAGAAGATTTATAAAATAAAAAAAAAGACTACTATTGTGTTGAGCTCACAATTATTTCTTTAGAACAGACCTCTCCAATAATTTTCTTGCCACAGGAGAATTCTGTTACGCCATTAGCTTTCAAAACAACCCCTAGATTCTGAATTAGGGGCCAGAAAAAGCAAGCTCTGGAGAAAATGGGAACAACAATGAGAAAAGTGTATACTAAGCTCTCCTGAAGGTACAAAAACACATTCTTTGTGGTTTTTTGTTTTGTTTCACAAAAACCATTGAAACTTAAAAACAAAAGAAATCTAATTCCTCTCTGAAAGAAGCATGCTACCAGAGACTCCAAAGTTTTTCCTGCATATCACAGTAGTGGAGTTTTTCAAACTCTAGCTGGATCTTCCATAGCCCAATTTTCTAAATAATGGTTTGTACTTTCCCAAAATTTCCTAAATTTCTTTGCCATGTATCGATTATATGAATGGTCTGTTTTAATTCAATTTCAAGGTGATAGGCCGAGCTAAGAATTAAGTTCAGTGTTCTTGTCAAAGAATGAAATGGAAAAGTACGAACATATTGGCCGAATCACAGTTATTTTACAATTTTTAATCTTACATGATATATGCATAAAGTGTTGTTTTGGTGTTTGGTTTTTTTTTTTTTTTTACTCATTATTTAGCACTCACTTCTTCTGAAAGATGTCTTTGGCCTTGGCAAGGTCACCTGAACAAGCCACCAAACTGTGCTGCCCTGTTTTCCCAACTGCAAAGTAAATGACAAACATGAGACAGTGCTTGTCCCTTAACCTATAAGTAACCAGGGAGAACTCTACCGTGTTTATGCTTAGAATCTGACAAGTTCTAAGTAGGCATGGGAGTGGGAAAAGGTGAAAGAGCTTAGGGAACTGATCATGTTGATACTAATTACCTAATTGTTATACTCTTTGAACAACACGAGCAGACCCATTTCAGAAGAGCTCCATGGGCTGCTCTTTGCTTTCTCTTTTTTTATTATTATTATTTTTTAATTAATTTTAATGAAAGTTTACAGAGACTTAGGGTTTCCATTCATTCATTGTTGCACTTTATCCCTGCTCCCTCCGTCCCCCCCAATTTGCTCTTCTCTTTGAAAAGTAAAAAAGTCTTTCATTGTTATACAATCCCTGCCCACAATGCTGTCTTTTTGCTAATATCAAAAAGGCAGGATTTCTAATAAATTCTCTCTAGACTTTAGAGTGCCTGTTCAGCCAATTTAAACTCAGGGCCCACTGGCCATTCACTAAGTTGCTTTTGGTTTTCTGATGTGAACACATACAGTGAAAGTCATTACCTCGGCCCCATCTCATCCAAACACTGAAGTTTCTCTGATCATCATCTTCTAACAGCTGGATCAGATAATACTTGTTGTTGTTGAACTGCAGATTGGTCTATGATAAATGAGAGAAATAAACACACAAAGATGATAGGTGTACAAATGCAAGATACATACATTAATGACTCCTTGGTCACAAGAGCTAGTAATTTCTGTAGGGAAAAGAATAGCTCAGGCAAGAAAATTAGATTTCTTCTAAGAGTAAGGATCTATCCCCCATTCACTTACTGTCATTACCATAGAGTGAGAGCTGACTCACAGCTGACCCTACTGTAGGTTTTCAGAGGCTGTAAATCACCCATAAGAATGCCCATCTTTCTCCAGCACAGCAGCTGGTGGATTCACATTGCCTACCTGCGGGGTAGCAATGCAACTCCTTACCCACTAGGCTGCCAGAGCTCCCTAAAAAAGGTCATTATTGTTGTTTGTTGTTGGGTCGATTATGACTCAGCTCCCCATGACCAACAGATCTGAACCTTACCCTATCCCATAACATCTTTATTATCTCTGACGTGCTCAACCCCACTGTTATAGTCACTGTCAATCCATCTTGTTGTGGGCCTCCCTCTCTTATGCTGACCCCTTCACCTTTCTTAGCATGACGTCCTTCCTAAAAACATGCCCAAAGTATGTGAGACCCAACTTTACCATCCTTGCCTCCCAGGAGAAACCTGGTTTTACTTTCTCCAAAACAGACCTGCTTGTTCGCATGGAAGTCGATAGGATATTCAGTAGTCTTCTCCAACACCGCAACAATCCTCAGCAAGATCTTGCTTGCATGGGATAGAAATACCAATGAGGAGGTTCCAGTTTTTGCTGCCTGGCCCAGCCTCTGGGCCTTTCCAGAGGCTTTCTGCTTCTGCTTTACTACGAAGGTATGTTGTTGTTGTTTACCATCAAGTCAACCTTGCAACATGCCGAAAGTATGTGAGATGAAGCTTCAGTATCCTTGCCTCCAAGGAACAGCCTGGTTAAACCCTCTCTGGGATAAATCTGTTTGTTTTCCTAGCAGTCCATATTCAATACTTTTCTCTAGCACCACAGCTCAATAGGTTTTTAGAGGCAAATTAATTATACAGAAAGAGATGCCTATATTCTCCCATGGAGCAGCTGGTGGATTCAAACTGCATACCTTTGGGTTGTCAGTGTAACTCCTCTTACTACTAGGCCACCAGAACTCCCTAGAAAGATATAAAATTTAGATATTAGAATTTTAATTCCTAGGAGTTAGAATGGGAGCTAGGAAGCTTCATAAAACCCTCTTCTTGTTGTGATGCACCACTGAGTCATTTGCAACTCGTAGTGACCGTATGGACAACAGCTCTGAATCCTGCTCTATCCTGAGCCAACCTCATCATCTCTGACACAACTACCCCATATTACCCCGTCACTGAGTCAATCCATCTCATCCAGGGTCTTCCTCTTTTGTGCTGTCACTCCATTCTCTCACGCATATCCCTCTCCAAGGACTGGTCCCTCCTTGCAACATGTTGAAAATATGTGAGATGAAGCTTCAGAATCCTTGCCTCCAAGGAGCAGCCTGAATTCACCCTCTCTAGGGTAAATCTGTTTGTTTTCCTAGCAGTCCATATTCAATACTCTTCTCTAGCACCACAGCCCAAATGCATTAATTCTCCATCATCCCTAGTCATTGTCCAGCTTTCTGATGCATAGCAAGTAATTTTGAAGACCATGGCCTGGATCAGGTGCACCTTAGTCTCAAGATTGACATCATTGCTCTTCGGTACTCTGGAGTGGTCCGTGACAGCAGACCTTCCCAAATGCAATTCATCTTTTAATTTCCTGCCTGCTGGCACCAACAGTGTTGATTGTGGAGCCAAGCAAACTAAAACTGTTAACAATCTCAATCTCTCAGTGGTGAGAATATTTGCTTTCTTGCCATTAAGCTTCAATTCACATTTAAGGTCCTTGACCTTCTGCAGCAAGTACTTCGAGTCCTCCTCAGTTTCAGCAAGTAAGGTTGTGTCATCTGCATAACACAGGTTTATTATGAGTCTTCCTCTAATCCTGATGCCACATTCCTCCTCATAGAGCCTAGCCTCATGGATGATCTGTTCTGCATATACATCCCTGGCATACACCCTTCCCGATTTTGAAACATGCAAAGTTTCCTTGCTCCGTTCTGATGACTGCCTCCTAGTCCATGTATAGGTTTCCCATAGACACAATCAAGTGTTCTGGAATTCCCATTCTTCTCAGAGTTAGCCACAGTTTGTTGTAATTCACATAGTAAACTGTGTTTGCATAGTCAGTGAAACACGGATAGACAGTGGTCTGGTACACTCTACTTTTAGCGAAGATCCATCCAACATTAGTTAGTGCCATGACCTCTTCTAAATCCAGCCTACAATTCTGGCAGTTCCGTGCTGATGTGCTGTTTCAGTCATTTTTTTTGGATAATTTTCAGCAGAATCTTGCTTGCATGTGATATTAGTGATATTGTCTGATAGTTTCCACACTCTGTTGGGTCACCTTTCTTTGGAATGGCAACAAATATAGATCTCTTCCAGTCAGTTGGCCAGGTAGCTGTCCTCCAGATTTCTTGTCACAACCTGGTGAGCACATCCAGGGCAGCATTTGTTGAAATATGTCAATTAGTACGTTGTCAATTCCTGTGGCCTTGTTTTTTGCCAATTCCTTCAGAGCAGCTTGAACTTCTTCATCACTGCAGGTTCTTGCTCATACATTGTTTCATGAAAGTCTTCTTTGTGAGCCAATTCCTTTTGGTACAGTGACTCTGTATATTCCTTCCACCTCAAATACTTTATGTTGGCTCCTTCTGGTATTTTTTCCCTGACTCACCTCGCTCCCTAGACATTCCTTTAGTCATCTAGATTTTCTAGCTAACAGTACAATATCAGGGAGCTTTTGTGGCCTAGTTATAAGAAATTGTGCTACAATCCCAAAGGTACATAATTTTAATTCACCAGCTGCTTTGCAGGTGAAAGATGGGCAATGTCTTCTCATGCGATTTACTGCCCCTGAAAATCCTCTGGAGGGTCAGCTATGCATCATTCTTGACCCTAAGGAACACAACAGCATTATAGGACAAATGATCATTCTTCTAATGGAAAAAAGCTGATGACCTTAAGCTCTAACTAAACTTCTGTTTAGAAGACTTACTCTTTGATAGTTCTAATTACTGTTTTGGTTTGTTGGCTGTAGCAATTTGACAATGGGTGGAGAGTACGATGATGTTAGGAGGGGCCAAGGCCAGGAAGGAACCCTTGCTTCATCTATACCACACCTGACCTGACCTAGGTTGGAGACAATTAGAGAGAATGTGACTAGAATCTAAAAAGAGGTATTCTGTAAAGTGCTATGGTTCAAGTATTCAGCAAATACCAAAAAGTTGCCAATTCAAGCCCACTACCTGCTCTGTTCCTTTAAAGATGTATAGCCCTAGAAATTCTGTGGGGTAGTTTTACTGCATCCTATATTGTTGCTATGAGTCAAAATTGACTCCATGCACTGGACTTGCTTTGTATTTTTAAAGTAACCGGAACTCACACTGAAGAGTCCAAGGTTCAAATCCAGGATAAAGCACAGCCCTGGTTATTCAGATACTGCTTTGCTAAATGTGCTGCTACTTCCTAGCTTTACCTTCTGCCTACTCATATTAATGAGAAAAAAATAAAGTCCTATGGTTTTTTTTGAATCAGCTCATGATGTTTTAAATAAAAGAAGTAGTAGCCAAAGGAACACTAGAAAACAGTTGAAATTCTATATACTGAAATCAATAAATTATACTACTAAGAGAGCCAGGAAAGATATTAATTATGATAAACAATATAGTATCTAGTCAAAACAACAAAATTAAATAAAGAGAAAAAAGTTAGTCATAAAAAAATCAATAAATTTTACTACATAAAAATTTTAAAGATGAGGAAAAGCATAAATTTGGAAGGCATTAGCAATTTCTGTAACAAAGGGCTATTTTCTATATTAGACAAAGCTTCTTAAAACAAGTAAGAAAAGATGGACATACTATCAAAGAATGTACACAAAGATATATACAGACTTTTCACATGTTCAAAAGGCATGGAATCTAGTAAAAAAATTCCTTTCTCATTGAAGACTGTACAGTCAGGTCAAATGTGCTAGAGCTGAGTACTGGAGAATAGTAACCATTAACCCCAAGCCAAATTCATTGCCATTCAGTGATGTCTGATTCACAGTGACCCTAAAGGACGGAACAGAACTGCCCCACAGAGTTCCCAAGGCTGTAAATCGTAGAAGCAGACTGCGACTTCAGTCTCCTTCAGAGCGGCTAGCAGGTTTGGCCTCCAATATTTTGGTTGGCAGTCAACTTATCCACCGTATCACCAGGTCACCATAGTAACCATTCAAAAAACAACTCTCAAACGCATTGTTGTCAAATTAGAATCAATTCACCGCTGGTCCTCCATTGGTTTTCTGATATAAATAACATGGAAGGAAACTGTCTATGTTTCTTCTTTGGAACTGCTGGTGGACAAGCAGGGAGGGCAGCTTTTGGGTTAACAGCACAGGTGCCTACTGGCTAAGGCTCCAGAGCTCTCTTAGTAAACCCCTAGTGGCTAACAAGAAGAATTTCAGAATGAAAGATCTGGACACTGGGACTCTGTCAGCAACAATTATAAAAAAGCCAAACAAACATTGGCGAGGTTGTGGAGAAACTGGAACACTTATTCACTGCTGGTGGGAGTGTAAAATGGTGCAACCACTATGGAAGGCTGTATGGTGCTATCTCAAAAAGTTGCAAACATAAATAACATT